TAGCATTTCCGGTTATACCGGAAGTCGCCATCTACTTTATTTTTTTTAATGGAACACACGGTACATTTTTACATATTTGGATTTGTCTATTTTCGAGATTTTTGAATAACTTTTTGCAATTTGATCTTCCGTTCTCGAGTTATTCGATTTTTTTTACAAAAATCTGCTCTAGCAGACATCTCTCTGTTCAAAAAATCAGAGAACACTCGATTTTTGAGATATCAATTTAGGATTCAGAACATGCTTAAGCAACATGATGGAGTATGTTTTGGTGCGAGAACGGCTGTCTAGATCGTTTGGTCACTTTACTATGGCACGCTAACTTTCCGAAATTGTGAAATATCATAACTCAATTTTTTTAAATGGCACCCCCCATATTTTCTTACTTAGTCGTCTTCGGCGTCTCATTTTACATCTTTTATACTCCATATGTCCTATACCTAACGTTAATAGTTTGGGAAATAATTAGGGTTTTTTGAAAAATGCTTACATATATCGATATAAACCTAGTGTGTCATGGAAAACAAATGTTTAATGACTTATTAACATCAAAATCTGATTTACGTTGATGCTTGTGGGTCTAAAACCAGTTAAAATGGTTATTAATAACGTAAATAATGTTTATATACAAATGAAGAAATCCTTAATTTATTTTTTATGCACGGAAAGTGCGACAAAGTTCTTAGAATGTTTAATGAAAACTACCCACATTTATCTCCGATGACAAAAGGTAAATTTAGAAGAACAGAAGCAGTTTTTTTGCGTTTTGGACGAATTAATCACGTGTTAAACTGACCAAAAATGTAGTAGATAATGCAGCGGAAGAGATGAATAACCTTGGCTTATTTCGAGTTCAGTCCCAACGCCTCAATTTGAGGTGCCAAACAAGATCTGGGAATCATACTACGAACTTTGTCGCGCTTTTCATGTATAAAAAATAAATTAAGAATTTCTTGATTTGTGTAAATATTATTTTCGTTATTGTTATCGATTTTAACTCTTTTTAGTACTAATATTAAGGGACCTAACAGATAATTATTAGCTCACATGCATCAAGTGACGTAAACAAGTGAGTCTTTAACAAGAACTCATTGAGAAGGCTTGTTTTCCATGGCACACTAGGCTAATATCCACATGATATGCGTACATTTTTCAAAAAACCCTAATTATCTCCCAAACTATTAATGTTAGGTATGGGACATATTGGGATATAAAAGATGTAGAATGGGACACCGAAGACAACTAAGTAATACAATATGGGGGGTGCAAGTTAAAAAAAATGAACTTATGGTACTTACAAATTTCGAAAAGTTAACATGCCATAGTAAAGTGACCAAACGTTATAGACAGCCGTTCTCGGCACCAAAACATACTCGATCATGTTGCTTAAGCATGTTCTGAATCCTAAATTGATACTCCAAAAATCGAGTGTTCTTTGATTTTTTGAATAAATGTCTGGAGCAGATTTTTCTAGAAAAATTGGAATAACTCGAGAACGGCCGAATCAAATTGCAAAAAGTAAAATTATTTATAAACCTTGAAAACAGACAAATCCAAATATGTAAATATATACAGGTATATATACTTCCGGTATAAGTCTGAATTCTCAAATTTTTATTTTGGCCAGAAACCCAGAACAGTCTAATGACCGGTCTCGCTGAAACACCTGTATACTAAATTGTTGTTTGTTTGTTTTTTTTGTCAATATTTTAGAATTTTTCTAAAAAAATTTGTATCATTTTATTTTAAATGATTATTTATTTCTTATCAACATATGGAATTCAATCCTTTTTGTGAACCTTTTTAAGGTCATAGATTTTAATAGTAAATTTTGTGCTTTTTAGCTAAACACTTAAATGTTGATATGGAGCAAAATATTATGTTATGAGTTAGTTGACTTACTTGTCTTATTTCCTGTCGCTCTTGGTGGACCATAGTCTGGTTAGCAGCAAGACGTTTCTTCTCTTCCACATGTGTGTTGGGCGCCCTCGTCTCTGTACTTCTTGTGGGTTCCAGCTAAGCGCTGAGATCTCAACTGCTTTTTTTAGCGTGTGTCCAATTCAATGTCATTTCTTCTCCTTGATTTGGTCATTAATGGGTGATTGGTTTGTTCTCTCCCACAAGTCTTAATTGGCTATCATGGAGGTGGTTGAAACCTCACGTTTATAATACGTCGCAGGCATTTACTAATGAACACTTGTAATTTATTCGACATCCCCTTGGTGGCCTTCACACCCATTCAGGAGGACCGGCTTTACGTTGCTATTGAACAAGCGAAGTTTTGTTCTTTTTGCAATGTTTTTATTTTGCCAGATAAAGTACAATTGCATTCGTTTCTTTACACCCTTCATCTGTTGTGACAATGCTACCAAAGTACACGAAAGTTTCAAGTCGTTCTAATCCCTTCCATTAACTGTTTACAGTGTTATGCGAAATAATAGGTGGAAGTATATTTATGTATTTTCAAGCTGGATCAAGCTCCAGCTTAATCTCCTGACCTTAATCCAATCGTGCATCTGTGGGGAGATGCAAAAAGAGCAATTAGTAATAAACGTTACTTAAATAAAAAGGATTTATAGCGTGCAGTCGAATTTGTTTGGTATAACATACTGGTGGAAAGTTGTCGCCGGTTAATGAAGTTAATGCTTCGTCGATATTCTATGTAATCCAGGGTAAGGCCTTTTTCTTAAGCACTTTCCTCACAATAGGTGCATTAAAGTCAAATAAAGATAGTAATACATCGGAAAATAATTGAGCTTGTCGTTATTATCCTCAAAATAATAAACAGCCTCTCAGTTCATTAAACCGAGGTCTCTGCTAAATTTATTCATATCGATGGCATGCAAATCACGGAAGCTTATAAGTTTGGTCTTAGGTTTAGCACTTGACAACAGGCTAACAAATGATCTGACACCATAATATCTTCAGTATCACAAAGGAGAAGAGGCAATACTTTAGATATAATAATAACGTCAATTAGGGTGTCGGAGCAATCAGTAATTTGAGTCGGTTGGTCAACAATTTCCTGTAAATCAAATGCATCCAAAGTAGAAATCAGCAGGCATCAGCAGAAGATTCAGTGGCCAAAAGGTTAACATTAATATCGCCCAAGATTATAACTCCTCCAATACTTCCAAAAACGATCTCAAATCAGAAGATGGCGGTCTGTAGATAACCCCAATAGCAAAATTCAAGCTATTCACTGCAAACTCCAATAGCAGCTCCGAATTTAAACACCTACACCACCACCCCTGTAGGGTCTGTTCGCTCTAAAGAAGTGAAAATGATCCAAATTAACAGCCGAGTCATCGACATTTACACCCAACCATATTTCGGACTCTGCAAAGACATCATAATCAGATTGCATCACATTATCTCGCAATTCATCAAATTGCGCAACCAGTGATGTCAAAAGTAGCAACCAAGCCATAAGGCAAGGAATCAAAATTGGAGTGGTCAAAAAATGTTAAAAAACCAAAAATATAGATAATATATAAACTAAAATAAAAATAAACCAATGAGAATTATATTACTATAATAATAAAAAAATAATATTATTTATCAAAAGAAGAATCAGTAAGAACAAACACTATTTTGCAATATTTCCCTACTAACGTGTGTTACAAAAGCATTGTGTCGTTAAATTAACATCTAATAACGTACGCCTTCTTATATTACCAGTCTTCTTCAGGTCAGAACAACTTTTGACGGTGATGATTGAACCATTGTCTTTAATTCATACTCTTTCATCCCTAGTCCAACAATTACCAATTCCATATTTTTCACGTGAGAGCATAAACATGCAAGTCCTGTTCTTGCATGTTTCGAGACTCTTTCGAATTTATTTGTGATTAAAATTATGCCACGACTTATAGAACCACTCTGTATATTCTATACACTCTTTTATCGAAGCTAAGAAATTGGATTATTCGATATAATCGGGCATTGTTCCATCAGGTGTTAATAGTTTGTCTTTCACCGCTTCAGTCGCAATTTAGGGAGGTTATTTTTTCCCACCTGAAGAGTGAATGAGAACACCTGTCGTCGTTCGTCCTTATTCGGTTGAGTGATGTCCAGATTCGTCTTGGTTTGTCGAAACTCTCTGGCTTGCTTATAGCTGCACTCTTTTCTTAGTCTTCTTTCCAGCGCTCAATTATGTATTGAGTGGACTCCACTTATGTTCTTGCCGGCAATTCCAACGTAGAGGCACGTAGGGGCACAGGGTCGGCGTTAATCTTTCCATATTCTTCTTATATAATAGAAGCTATATGGCTCAGTGGAGGCAGCCAGCAAGTGGGCGGGGCCTTGATTATGCCTGATATAGATAGTACGCATAGTTTAGTTGATTTGGACATCAACATGATTAGTGTGCGAACTATTGATCCACACTGGACACTGCTATACAATTTTTTGCGACGAGTTACACCAGACCCAATGCTGTCGATCTATATGTGGACGCTGAGGAGTCTCATATGGTGCCACTCAGCTTTTGCAGAATGTTATTTCGTTTTCTGAGTTTTGTAGTTGCCTTGGTAAGGTGTTCTTTAAAGCTTGCCATTATCAAGAGTGGCACCTAGGTATTTTGAATGTTTATTGTGACTGAGAAGTGTCTTCAAGGTAGATTTAGTTTAAGTGGAAGCACAATACTACAGTTTAGGCGGTAATGGGCTGCAAAATGTTTAATATATTCGATTCGTATTTTGTAATGTTGTTTGAAATTTCTTAAGGATCATAATATAAAAGACAAATTTTGTTATGTTAAAAGATCGATTTTCTAAAAAAGTTTGCGTAATTTGCTGAATTTAGCAGAAAAAGTTTAAGACTATTTTTTTGTTCCTAGACCATGAAAATAAACTTTACAGACTATATTTTTCTCATTATTCTAAATCTAAACTATCAAAAGTAATTAATTCACTGTGTTATAATTATACTTTATACTTTTAATGGATGTTAATAAACTCAAATCTGATATAATATATTTTTTTAATGTTTCAATTTAGAGTACATTTATAAGAGATGTATTAATGCCAGGAGAATGGGACGTTTGTATAACATCATACGAGATGTGTATAAAAGAAAAATCAGTGTTAAAAAAAGTTAATTGGCGTTATATGGTGATTGATGAAGCTCATCGTATAAAAAATGAAAAATCCAAACTCTCCGAAATTCTACGTGAATTTAAAACAACCAACCGTCTCTTATTAACGGGTACCCCATTACAAAACAATCTCCATGAACTTTGGGCTTTGCTCAACTTCCTTTTACCCGACGTTTTTAATTCCTCCGACGATTTCGACTCCTGGTTCAACACCAATCAATGTCTCGGCGATAATGCCTTGGTCGAACGGCTACACGCCGTCTTAAAACCGTTTTTACTGAGACGTTTAAAATCAGAAGTGGAGAAAAAGTTGAAACCAAAAAAGGAAGTCAAAATCTACATTGGTTTAAGCAAAATGCAAAGGGAATGGTACACTAAAGTATTAATGAAAGATATCGACGTTGTAAATGGGGCGGGTAAAATCGAAAAAATGCGTTTGCAGAACATTTTGATGCAGTTGAGAAAATGCACGAATCACCCTTATTTATTTGACGGGGCGGAACCTGGACCACCCTACACCACCGATGAGCATTTAGTTTATAATTGCGGAAAGATGTCGATTTTAGATAAGTTATTGCCTAAGTTGCAAGAACAGGGCTCGCGAGTGTTGATTTTTTCACAAATGACAAGAATGTTGGATATTTTGGAGGATTATTGTCATTGGAAACAATATCAGGTTAGTTTTTATTTACATTTATATAAGTTTGGTAAAAATAAACAATCTTTTTTGTATAGTATTGCCGTTTAGACGGCCAAACACCGCATGAAGATCGACAACGTCAAATTAACGAGTACAATGATGACGATAGTAAAAAATTCATTTTTATGTTATCAACCAGAGCTGGAGGTTTGGGTATTAACTTGGCCACTGCTGATGTGGTCATCATTTACGACTCTGATTGGAATCCCCAAATGGATCTCCAGGCGATGGACAGAGCACATAGAATTGGGCAAAAGAAACAAGTTCGTGTATTTAGGTATGAACTTAAACAAAATCTGATATAATTAAAAAAGAAATGGTTTAATTATTATTGAATTAGGTTTATAACAGAAAATACAGTTGAAGAAAAAATTGTAGAACGAGCCGAGATCAAATTACGTTTAGACAAGTTGGTTATTCAACAGGGAAGACTTGTTGATAGCAAAGCGAACGCGCTCAACAAAGATGAAATGTTGAGCATGATCCGTCACGGGGCCAATCACGTTTTCGCATCAAAAGATTCGGATATCACTGACGAGGATATCGATACTATTTTGTTAAAGGGAGAAACAAAGGTGGAGACACACAACTAAATATGTCTGCTCATTTTATGCATTTAAAAATTTTTTTTTTTAGACGGCCGAATTGAATCAAAAATACGAATCTCTAGGAGAATCGTCTCTTCGTAATTTCACGGTTGATACGCCTACGGAATCCGTATATAAATTCGAAGGGGAGGATTATCGAGAGAAACAAAAAACTCTAGGATTAAGTAATTGGATCGAACCGCCAAAACGGGAACGCAAGGCGAATTATGCGGTGGATGCGTACTTCCGGGAGGCGCTGAGGGTGTCCGAGCCTAAGGCTCCAAAGGTATCTGTTAGTATTCGTTCTATTTTTTTTAGATTTCTCTTTATTTATTTTTAGTTTTTAATCAATTCCCACCAAAAATGTCGAAATTATTATTACTGTTACTTGAAAATTGTCGTTCTTTGTTCTTTGCCATGCATTCGCAATAATTAACAATCTGATGATTTGCCTAGCCGAATGAAAAGGTAAATATAAACAAATAAAAGCTAAATAAAGAGCTGAGAAACATTTTAAAAAATAGAATAAAACCAGTTGGAAAATATTAATTTTAAATATGCGATAATTTTAGTTTATCTTCTACTTGTTTTATCCATTTCTTGTTAATAATTTATAATTTTAACATGTCTCATAACAATCATAATTCAGAGCAACATAACATAATCAAAATTATTTTTTCAAATATGATGGTTATTTTCCATTTTTTAAATAAAATTTCAGATATTTCTTAAACACGGTCAAGTTGGCATCTCTTTTTCATATAAGCAGAAGTGATATACATAAAATTACCCTGAAAATGAAGATTCACTTAATCTTTGTATCAATTTGTGAAATATTCAATTATCATTAATTATATATTTTAAAGGGAACTTTTAAATGTCTTAATGTTTTGAAATAGTTAGGTTTTATATGATACACTCACTTCTGAAACAAAAATAAGAGTTAAAACAGTTACCATTGTAAATCTCTTGCCCTACAATTAATGTTTAACAGTATGGTCTCCAAGTGTAAACAAATTGCCGATTCTTTAAATAAATTACAAAAATACAAGTGAAAAATTAAAAACGAACAAATGATTAAAACTAAATGACATATTAAACTAAACAACAACAATTTCTGAATTAGTTTTTGGACAAACTTTACAAAACCTTGATAAGTCTTGACTTTGATGTTGGGTCAATATGCTTAGGAAAATGACCTGAATATTTCGTGGTAAATCTCTTTTTAGAGATTTTAATACTTTATAGTCTTTAGGTTCGGCAATTTCAATCCTGTATTCTACGTAATCTTTATTTTTTTCGTTATTTATTTTGTTGATCAAAATATACGAGTAAAAATGGCAATATCGAACATATAAAAGAAATTTTTATGATTTCCTTTTGGATATTTTCTCATTATTAGCAAGTATGGTAAAATCTGATCTTACCGATCATTCCTTTGTTGTACTCAATGCCACATTTGAGGTTGAGAAGGCATTTAGTGAAAATTGCAACATCAAAAATTTTATCAAAACTTCAAATATTGTTTTCTCAAATACTAAAAGTTATTTTTCAAAACGGGTTGGTTCATTGGAAAGAGGACTTTTATCGAGGGGTAAACCGCTAGTTCAAATTTTGTACACCTACTTCCCCTTTGACATATATTTCTTATACTTCCTACTTATATTCCTAGTATTTCCCCGTACTTCCCCGTAATTCCTCTTACATACTCGTACCTCCTCTCCCTTCGGACGGCATATCCACGTGTGTATTTAAGTAAAACACCCAAATAAAAGTCAATAAAAATTAACATATATTCTTTGGCAAATAAAAACATTGAGTTTTTCTATATAAAAACAGAAAATAATAATACTGACAAAACAGATTTAAAGCTTTTTATAATTTTGTTTGAAAGCTTTGTATAATCCTTATTGAGATTAGGCGTTTTGGGAAGT